TTTAACTGTGAAGACAATTTTTATTTAGCTTTCTAGAGCTCTAAAGACTAACCCCATCTAAATGTTAATATGTTTAAATATGTGTTGCTGAGACAACGATTAACAAAAATATTTGCCAAGTAATTTACCAATCTATTTAAGAACTTCAATCATTTTGTGTATAAAGCTTGTCTTCATTGTGATTATACAATCAGCTGACATTTTCATAATCTAAATTATTGCAACGGAGTCGATATTCTAAGACTTAAGTGAACTATTGATGTTCATTAAAAGAATATGAGTTCTCAATGGAAAAGAAAAAAACATATAATTGTTGTGCACACTTCCTCATAAGTCTCTTCATCGCTTCTCAGCGATAATACGATGATAAACAAGTGGGTGCATTCATTATATCCATGAAAACGAAAATCAGAGAGCAGACGAGACCGTAGACATTAGCGTATAAAAAGTGAAAATCAATAGCGAAAAGTGGCTAGGGGTGCATTACCATATTGTCAAGACTTAACATAATATAGAAAAATGAAATACATATAAGTATCTAATTACCCAATCCTTTCTGTGAGTCTTTGATGACAAATGCGAAATTAGCGAAGTAAATGACTATTACAGATTCGGACCCAGCCGATTTCGTGCCTGACGAGTTGTGCCTACTTTGTGATCGACAGCGACAAGAGCAAAAAACAAACCTTACAGAGAAAAAAGTTGGTTTTTAAACATGTTCTAAGATCAAACAAAAGCGACAAAAATCTTGGAACCTTCAGAATGAATGCAAATTATTCACATGCTTTCAAATAAGTGAAATACATGGAGTACAATCAGGTGCTGATGTGCGATTCGGACTCCGGTGTTTGTTCGTCAGCATCGCCACCAACTTCCCCTCGAGCTTCGCAACCTGCACCTTCAGCATCAACAGAAGCGACAATACTTGGAATGACAAATCTATATGAAAGAACGCGAGAAGCCATTATGAGAATGCAGGCTGCTCAGCAATGTGAGTTGTTTGGCAATTGTACCAGTTGCTTTTTAACGATGATGAAAGGGAAGGGAGGACAAACAAATAGAGGAGTTCGTAAAGGGCTACATAGTCCTTAAAAACACACTTCTCATCTGTTGTATAATTATATGCATGGTAGAGTAGTGTGGATAGAAATGCTTTTTGTGCTAGTAATTTCATCATCGAACGTTTT